ACGACCATCCCGAGGTCCCCAGCCGAGGAGCCTAGCGGGACCTTTGTGACTTGAGCTCCTGGTTAGGGTTTTCATACCCTCATGCCAGGTCTTAGCTTGACCACCTTAGGCTTTCTTCCACTCACTACCTACCTCGGCAAACATCGCTCGCCGTGGTGGCCTATTTGGAGACATGCGTAACACGCCCCAACCAACGTAATCTATGGAGGTCGACCACGTGCTCCAGTGGGCGACCGCGGTTGACTAAAACTTTTCGCCTGACCTCAGCTTTGCTCGTCCGGCTGCCCCACCAGATTCGTGCAATGCTGCGTAGACAGCGNGGGACCTATGTGACCGAGACTCCTGGTTGGGGTTTTCAAACCCTCATGTCAGGTCTTCGCTTGAAGATCAATGACCTTTGAACGAATCACGCACAGAAAATATTATTTCACAAGAATCTGAGTCGAAAATGAAAATCGACATTTGAGTGCAACTTCTCCAAAATAAACGTGAACCGTATTTTGCACTTGCTTAAACACACAACACATGTATACCGTATGGCAATCAATAAGGCTTACCTGTAATAATCATGATGGATAAGATAAGAGCGATTCGGAAAATTCGACTATCCGCGCTGTGGTATTGCAACGGGTCCCGGGTGAAATAGGAATGTGCATCCATAGAGGCCAAATTCTCGAAACCAATCACCTGAGAACAAAATTGAAGAATCAATATTCTTTTTCGCCTTGCTTCAGAAACTTTTCCAATCACAAATCGATTCTAAGTTTGTGTTTTTCCCGCAAGTTGGACGGGCGTCAACAATCAGGTCAACAGGGTAGGGCTGCTTCTGTCATTGATCAGTTAGCTAACTTTAATGTATGCATTCTGTCAGTATCTGTGACGCTATTTCTGATCAATTTATGAACAATCGGTCAACCACACTGTAACAGATAAACTTAACAAATGATTGACCAGATAGATGGATACAAACAACCTCCATATATGTTGCAGTGTTTCCAAAAATGTTTAGCAATGCATAAACATCGTATATGCGCATTGGTTGCATGGTTAATAAGTAGTATCGACAGGAAAAGACAAAAGTTCCTTGGAAGTCTATGACAGGAACTGGTTGATTGACGTCACTTGCTGTATGAAGAGTCATTTGAGATCACAAGACTGATGTTCTATTTCAGAAACCGAAAACAAGGTGTTAAAGACCAATATCTACTGCCTCTGTCTTGGTTAGGGTGGTATCCCTAACCCCTTAGATAGGCTCAAGTGAACACTAATGGAAAGTAAGACTTATCCAGCGGTCATATATGCATCTCGAAAATAGAAATGATCTTTATTTTTTCGTTCGTATGAGTTGAACACTTCAGTGTAATATGTGATGTGCTAGCGTGCAAGTGGATACAAATTCAAATTTTCATTATGGGTAAATTACAAATCTGGTGCTTATTGAATCTCATAGGATCTGCATACACTGGTTTCGATTGATAGTACGATCAAATAACAAATTATCAGCTTCACGCAAGGGTGCTAAACAGTTGAGCGTTTCAGTGCTTCATCGAGCCACGACTTGAAAGAATTGAATTAAAGTGGAGGAGACTTCCAGGGATATTTCGAGGCTGAAACAGTGATGCCTACAGTCTAACCAATAAAAGAAAGTTTAAATGGATGCCTCCTGATCACTCTTGGACAGTGTTAGAACAGTATTACAAGGGTGACTTGTTTGGCATAGTATTTGATGAAAAAACATCTGCGGTAAGTCAACCCCCTCTCCCTCAGATGACACCAGTCAACCACCTATGCTTCCCAGTTTCTGGACTTTGAGCCATGGACCAGCAGTATTGATCAATCAACAGTCATACAGTTCAAACAGAAGCCCTGGGACTCGAAGAACGGTGATTGGTAATCCGTACCTATTTCAACTACTACATCATATCTTCCGAATTCGACAGTATTGAGATGAAAAGAGTCCTAGGGTTTGCAGCCTTTCAACCTGGGTTTGGAAATATAACCGTTTGACCATTTTGGTCGCTATTCTCCGCGGACGTTCGAGTGCCTTTATGTCACAAATGAGCTACAAATTCCAAACTTGGATACTGAATGCTGAAAGCAAATGGAGCAGTAGGTCTAGTTTGAATGATCTAGAACACATTTGACGAATCCAATGTGCTTTAGATCCATTGATGACGCGCTAACAAAATACATGGAGCATCCTGTCACTTACCGGAAAATAACTTCCAGATTCTTCTCGCTTTGAGCACGTGGTAAATGCTGATTTCCATGTACGTATGAAAACTACTCCGTGATGCAATGATACAACCTCAAATTTCTCAACATTGAATTTGACGTAATCAGTGAAAGACCATTAGTAAGCTAAGTCGAGTGCTTCCTGTAGTGTTTCATGACCTTCAGGATGTCGTACTGTTCTCCATGTTTTGGCGTCGTTAGCAAATAGTATTGATTTTTCCGAAGGACATGTGGTAGATAGTTTAAGAACGCCATGAAAAGGTGCGGACTAAGAACGGATCTTTATGGAACACCACGAACAGATTCAATTAGTCCAGTTAGAGAACCATTAGCTAGAACTGATACGGTTAGTTGTCAACGCCATTCCTCAACCCAAAGTGGAACTTTCCACGGCCTTGAAATTTTTCTCACTGTATGCTTACGGTATATTCGAAAAACGTCTCCCGTTTATTTTTGTTTTATTTCACTAAAAACGGGAACCTCTTTTCTCTTTCCCTCTCTAATACTCTCGTAGCTTTGTTACTATTGGC